ATACCTATTTCTGTTTAGAAGAGTGACAGTCTTGCTCACTAAACGCAGCCTGACATAGGGAACGCTTCCCAGGGCGGCTGTACTGCGTAACAGGGGAGGCACAAGTTGGCCATGCTTTCCTCCAGACGCTGTCTTCTGGAGCTGCCTTCTGGGTATAATTCAAATGTAAGCCCCTAAAGTTATTTCTCACCCTTTAAAATTATGTCTGTGGGATCTGCACCTGCCTGGGTGCTGTATCCATATCCAATTCAGGATTTCTACTGTTCCTGTACATCTGAAATGCATTCTCGCTAACCAGATGGGAAGGATTCAGAAGGCGTTATTTTCCCCATAATAGACTATACATGAAGCACACTTAAAGGTTATGCAATTTCCTAACATAGTAATTATGTATTGAGCTAAATAATAGGGAAGCAAAGAGGGTTTTTTTTGATCTAATTGCCTGGCTGCTCTAGTCTCTCATGCAAACTGCAGGCATCTGAGGAAATTGGGTAACCAGCTGTGACAGCTAACAAAAGGCAGCAAATTCTCTCTGAGCTGGCATTTCATCCTCGATGGGTGTATCAGGACTGAATCCACACCCCAGTGCTGTGTGCTTGCCTCAGCTTAATGTGATTCACAGCCTCCATGTGAAAATGCTGGTGTCGGTCTGAGCAGCCACAGCAGTTTCTTCCCTCTGCTGTGTCGGCACTGCAAACAGCAGTGTAGTGCTTGTAGGCACTGCAAACAGCAGGAGCTGGAGGCTTGAATTAACCTGCGGGTCACCACCTTCCTGAGGTGTTACCTGGAGCAGTCCTGCAAGGTATTGCACATGATGTGTGGGCCCTTGCAGGTGGTACTGGGAGAAGACAGTTCACAGACCTCTTGTACCAGGCTACTTGCATGTTCTCTTTTAACCTTTCTGTTCCCAGTGCTTTCTAGGCTCCAGTCTGGTGGCTACTGGTGTAATACACAGTGGAGCACTTCAGAGCTTTGCTTACCCGTGTGTCCACCACATTTATTCACGTATTTAATGTTGATGATCAGCTTGCTTCCTCTTGGAGGGCCGTATCTGGACTCTGCCCCCTGAAGTCACTGACACCTTGTTTGCAGGTCACCTCATCTTCCTGAGCCGTAAGCACTGTGGCTCTGCAGCCTGACACTGCCTTACACTCTTGCTAACAGCCCTGCTTCTGCTCTTTTGCACATAGCTGTCTGTGCAATAAGCTGGACACTGAGGGCCCCCTTCCCCAAATTCTGGGGTAAATCAATGTGGACACTCTGCCATTTACCAAAATTGAAAGCAAAAGGGAAAAGGAGCTAACTTGCACAGTGTTAATAAGGGAATATATACCTTCAATATTTTGATTGTATTGATCTAACTCTTGAATGTGGCGACTGGTTTAAGTGCACTATTGTCCATGTTGCATATGATATAACTTAAATTGCACTGTACAGCATATTGGCGTCTAATGTATGCTTTGCTAGAGCCTTGGGAAGTGCTGCCATGTACAGGTTTCTGTATGAGGGGAAAACATCTCTGCTAGCACTCCCTTTTTTTTGTAACTGTGTGACACTGAATAGCACTGTGTGATGTGTGCTATGTATCTGTTAACTGCTACAAACTTCAGTGATGAGTGCACTTCTGTCCAGACATCTGGAATTGCTAATTGGACTTGGCTGCTGCATCGGTCTTGATATCATTTTACATGAAATAAGTAACAGGGCTGGGAGTTGCGTGCTATTATTAGATATATGCTGTATGTGTGCAGAGTCCCAGCTGCTGTGGTGTTGAACATATTGCAAAAAGAATCACAAATATGAGAAAAAACTACCATGATTGAAATTGGGGCAGAAAAACAGATACAAAGTGATGTAAAGTTTGCTGTAGATATCTTGAGAACACAGTAGAAATGTCTGTTCAAATTAAAACCTTGAAGACTAAAAAACTCTTTAATTACAGTGCTGAATCTTCTTTATTAGTACTGCCTCTCCTTTCTATTGGAGGGATGTGTGTGTGACTTGGATGTAAGCTCTGCCTGAAACTTGGCATCTTTTCAGCTGACGTGCTCTTTTACAGCTGAACCTATGCCGTGATGGTAGAAGAGGGGTTTGTACTGCAGGGCTGCATGGAAAGGAGAAGGTTGAGACCCTGAGGCTTTGCACGGCTTGCAGAGCTCTGCTCACAGGAATTTGGTCCTTTGACACCAGCTATGCACATGATGGATCAACAATTAGCTAAGACTTTATGCTTGTATTGAACTCTCTAAAGGGAGATGATGTTTTCAATGGGAGAACGGTTCGGAATGAAGCAAAACTTTGCAAGAAGTCCATCAGCAGGCAGGGGGTCATGGTTATCGATGGCTTTTTTAAGGGAGGTGGGGTGCTTTAGTGTAATTGCTAGGTGAAGGAGTGAAAAAAAGGACAAACAGCTCTTGGGAAGCAGAGGCTGTGAACTGTGGAATCTCCTGGATCTCTCCTGGCTGGTGACTCAGGGGCTGTGTACCTCTGGGCTGTCTGTTTGCCTGTGGCATCATTCTTGGTCTCTGCAGCTCCTCTGGAAGGTGAAGAATTCTTGTGGGTTTTGGTATTTCAGCAGATGGAAATGTGTGTGTCTGCGCTGCCCTGCACATGTGCAGTCCTCTATAATAACACAGCGAGGGATACTGAAGGTTTAGATGTAAAAAGATTGATTTCAGTCCCTACTTCAGCAAAGTGCTTGCAAAAGTCCATGCTGAAACAGAGTGGATTTATTTTAAAACATTTTTATCTACTATTAAGAGCAGCCTGATTTCGTGTAATCTTGCTTTTTAGAAGAAAGAAAGTCATGGACCCACATGTTGATATTTCTTTCAATTTAACATTCCTTCTTATGTTTTTATTTGAGCATGGGTCAGAAGGCATCACTAGTCCAACAGTTTAAAAACAAATACAGAAAGGCTCTGGAATATTTAAAAGGATGTAAAGCCATGTGCTGGATTCAGACTACAATTGAGATGACACTCATGAAAACACAATGGCTTTGAGAGCTTGTATGTGTAAACAGGCGGCTCAGGGCAGCTGTGATGGATTTATTCAGCCCATATTATCTGCCTGTAAAACACCATGTTTTGATTCAATGTGTGGAAACACCTGATGGGAAGGAGTGGGGAAGACAGAGGCAGACTCTGCTTGGTGACGGGTCGGTGACTGACTTGAGCTCTAGCCTGGCTTTCCAAGCCTTTCTTTCTTATGTCATCTGGCACTGGCTCTGCCCCATCTTCCCCCTTTGTAACTTGTTTGCCACCTTTGACAAGGCTTTACAGGGTAAGGGACATAATTACCTTCCTACAAAGCAGCCTGGCAGGGAACCCGTGCCCACGTGTCCGCATTTCATGTGGATGAAATATCCATGAGCTCATTTTGTGAAGTGCTGGGTTCTTCTGGCTGGTGGTGACTTTGCAGCATCTAAATCACAGTATCTTGTACGTGCTGTGGCACAAGTAGATCTGGAGGAAGCTAAAACTCAGCAGACTGAGGCCACTGAAAACCCAAGTGTTTTTGCTGTGAAGAGAGCTGTAGGGCTCTCTTCCATGCTGCCAATTGTTCACCCAAGCAGGAAAGTAAACAGTAAGAATGAACTACTGTTGTGCATTAAACGTAACTCAAGGATGCCAGACTATGTTGGGTTGCTCACAGTTTCTCCTGCTGTGTAAATGTCAAGACAAGCCTGTGGCATTTGTGTGTTAGAGCTTGAGATGCTGATCTTTTGATGCGCTGTTGCAAGAGTGTTGCTGATGGCTTTAGATTACTTTATCTGATGCTGCAGGTCATGCTAACTGGGGGGCTTACTCTTAAAGCTCAAAATCTGCTCCCTCAGTATCTTAAAGTACTGGCAGACAGCCTGGACACTGCACAGAAGAGAAGGAAACTTCTTTCTGCTGTAAATATTGGGGGGATTGGACAATTTTTGGCTGCTAATCTAGTAAGCAAAACTTGCTTGGGATAAAACAATTAGGGGGAACAAAAAGACACTGGGGTGGTTGCATAAATTCAGTGTTTGCTTCTGCTAGTTTTTAGGCAGAACGTACTTCTGTTCTTGTTTACACAAAAGGAGTTGAAGTTCTTTCATACTGCTGTTTACCTTTTACCAGATATTGAGCATCGTGGGTCATAGCTGTGCTGTCATAGCACTCCGCTGCAAATGCTAAATGTTTTTCTGCTGCTGTGCAGTGTGCAGGAGATCTCTGCAAATGTGGGATGCTGTAAGAAAAATGTCCATTGAATGGACTGCTTGACTTGCTGTGGTAGAATGCACAGAATCACAGAATGGTTTGCATTTGAAGGGACTTTAAAGCTTACCTACTTCCAGCCCCTGCCATGGGCAGGGACACCTTCCACTAGACCAGGTTTCTCCAAGCCCCATCCAACCTGGCCTTGAACACTGCCAGGGATGGGGCAGCCGCAGCTTCTCTGGGCACCCTGTGCCAGGGCCTCACCACCCTCACAGGGAAGAACTTCTGCCTAAGAGCTCATCCTAATCTCCCCTCTGTCAGGTTAAAGCCATTCCCCCTTGTCCTGTCCCTGCAGGCCCTTGTCAAAAGCCCCTCTCCTGCATTTTTTTGGTCCCTTTATGCACTGGAAGCTGCTCTAAGGTCTCTGCTGAGCCTTCTCTTCTCCAGGCTGAACAAGCCCAGCTCTCTCAGCCTGGTTCCATAGCAGAGGTGCTGCAGCCCTCAGAGCATCCTTGTGGCCTTCTCTGGAGTCAATCCAGCAGCTCCACATCCTTCTTATGCTGGGGCCTCCGGAGCTGGACACAGGACTGCGGGGGGGGGGTCTTACCAGAGTGGAGCAGAGGGGAAGAATCCCCTCCCTTAACCTGCTGGTCACACTGTTGGTGATGCCGCCCAGGACATGGTCGGTTTCTGTGCTCAGGTGCACACTGCTGGGTCATGGTGAGCTTCTTACTGACCAACACCTCTATTTCTTATTTAATCATTTGTTTCAGGGAGAGAACAGCAATCCAGACTTCAGCAGGCTCTGCTTCCTACATTTCCCTAGGTTTGGGAAGGAAAATAAATAAATAAAAGGCCTTCCTGGGAAAAAGGCTTTCTTGCACAGATTCTTAATGGATACTTGCGCAACATCAAATACACAAAGTACCCTGGCTGCCCTGCCAGCAATTGGCGAGGCTGTCATTTCACCATGGGAAAGGCTTTTGCAATGCTGAGTTCAAATGCTGCTGTTCTCCTCCACCTCTTTTTCCTCCTCACTTGTGCCGGTTCATCTGTTTGTGATTCCACATGGTACATTGGATTGGAGAAACTGGTAAGGAGCCCAGCCAAAGGGAAAAGCCCTGCGGCCTGAGTCAGCATCTGCAGTGTTAAACACTGCAATTTAGATGCTTTTAGTAGTTGAGTCATAGTAAAGATGTGTAATGGGCCTTAACGAGCAGTCATCTAAGGCTCTGTCACTGCAACTGTGTCCTCCTGTAGACTGGAAGGATGATTGATTTTTTTATTTCTTTTATTATTATTTTTATAGTTTCTTAGACATTTGACTGGGGTTTGTGAGACCCAAGTCCTGGTCCTACCACTGCCACAGATTGCTGGTGTCATTTGAACCATCATCTGCATCAGTCTTAGCTGAAGAAGTACACTTTCTGAGTTGAGTGCAGGCAAAATTCCCTGTTTTCATGTGCCTCTTTTCTGTTTACTCTTTGGGACAGAAACTGCTTGGCTATTGTATAGTTTTGATCAAAGCTCTAGGCACTGCCCCACCTCTGCACTATCAGTCATTCAGTAAAGCCAAGGTAGAGCTAAGGGGGGAGAAGAGAGAGCATACCTCCATCCTTGCTCACTGCTCATCTTACAGAAAGCCATGTGTTTATGATTGTCAACAGCACTAAAGATATCTGGTCTGCAGAACTACCATACTCTGTGGGCATAAGCTTTGTATCATGCAGAGCAGCAAACCAAAGGGATAGCACGACTCCATAGCAAGAGCTCCGCTGCATCTCCGGGTGTCCTGCAAGGCCAGGAAAAGCTCCTGTGCTCAGCTATCCAGGCACAGCGGGTTGTGGTAGAATAGAACAGGGAGAGTTACAAGAGCACTAGTGGAGCCATTGGTTCCATGGCACTGTGCTGCCTAGGAGAAGATGGATGGTTTTTTGCTGCTGGAGACTCCCAACAGCAGAAGTCATTCTCTGATCCTTGCCCTGGCCCTTTTGGCAGTCCCACCTCAGAGGAGTGCCTCCCCACACAATGTGCAAAGGATGCTCCAGAGCTTGCCAGCTTCTGTGTTTTAATAATCTGCTCCCCTAGAAGAAGGCAATGGTTTGTATGCTGCAATTGCTGTGCTTTTATTGTACCTGAGTGACACCATGCTCAAATTGTTTCTGTTTTGGAACAGCTTGAAGGGGGAAAGAAAAGAAGTAGGATTAACTACTGAAGAAGCAGATCCTTATGGGGCTGGTGTGTGTATTGTTCTCCAAATTGGAAGCATTCTTAAATCTGTAACTCAGCTGCCATTACAGGATGGCACCTCCTGTATGAGTGAGGAAGACAAGGTGCTGTGCTATGAGGACCAAGCTGTCCCCTGTCCCAAGTTAAAATCGACCTTTTGCTGTCCTCTCTCCCTTTCTTCAGCTCCCTGAATTTCTTCCTAATGAGAATGTTGCCTCAACACCTGGCCCAGATCTGACTTTCCCTTCCCTGTCATCACGGCCTTGAGAGGCAGAGCAGCTTTTTGGAACATGTCCTGCTCTCTTCCCCTTGGCTCTTTTAATTTGCATTTCCAATATTCCTCCTTTCGCATGTTTCTGAACTTCAGACTGGCTTTTCTTGTTGGCAGTCTTAGGGACATGGATTAAAAACCCCAAACCAACAAATAAACACAAACCCCAAACAAAAAACCAACAAGAAAACCCAAACCCGCAAAACCTAAAAACCCAGGTACCATGAAAAATGTAAAACATACAAGAGTCTCAGTAGTTTGTAACTCTCCCTCTCTCCTTGGAGTTCTTTTGGGACACAGAATCATAGAATAGTTAAGGTTGGAAGGGACCTTAAGATCACCTAGTTCCAACCCCCCTGCCATGGGCAGGGACACCTCACACTAAACCATCTCACCCAAGGCTTCAACCACCCTGGCCTTGAACACTGCCAGGGATGGAGCATTCACAACCTCCCTGGACAACCCATTCCAGTGCCTCACCACCCTCACAATAAAGAACTTCCTCCTTATATCCAGTCTAAACTTCCCCTGTTTAAGTTTTAACCCGTTACCCCTTGTCCTATCACTACAGTGTCTAATGAAGAGTCCCTCTCCAGCATCCCTATAGGCCCCCTTCAGATACTGGAAGGCTGCTATGAGGTCTCCATGCAGCCTTCTCTTCTCCAGCCTGAACAGCCCCAACTTTCTCAGCCTGTCTTCATACAGGAGGTGCTCCAGTCCCCTGATCATCCTCATGGCCCTTCTCTGGACTTGTTCCAACAGTTCCATGTCCTTTTTATGCTGAGGACACCAGAACTGCACACAATACTCCAGGTGAGGTCTCACGAGAGCAGAGTAGAGGGGCAGGATCACCTCCTTCGATCTGCTGGTCACGTTCCTCTTGATGCAGCCCAGGATACGGTTGGCTTTCTGGGCTGCGAGCACACACTGAAACCAGCTCATGTTCATTTTCTCATCGACCAGCATCTTTTATCATGAACAGAGACTGTGAGCATGATACAGCACAGGTGAGGACTAGTGAGCTACAAGGCCGTGCTGACCACTGAGAAAGACACCCAAAGTGTCTTTGCTGTGCTGATGGGTGCTCATCAGGCAGGAGGGTTAGCGTCAGCTGCTTGCTGGAATGGAATATCCATGCTGCTTAGATGCCATCATCTATCTGGGGTTGCGTAGTCACCCCTTCAGGCTTTTCTGCCTTCCCATGTTGAGGTTTTTCCTCTTGCACCTTGGAGCTGTTACCTATCAGATCTATGACAATCCTACCTCTGTCCTTGCTTTTACCTTTGTTATCTTGCAGGGCTCTGTGCTCTTTCTCACAAGCTGGCAGTCTCCTCGGTTCTCAGAGGCAAGGTTACCCAGCTGGGCTGTATCAGGGAGGCCTTGGAACACAGCTGAACCTGGAGGACAGGGTGGTTTCAGGGCCAGCTTGCTGGAAGCTCTATCTAGCTTGTGTTTGTCCCAGTTTAATGCTCCAAATGGTTGCCTCGGTGCTGGAGGAGGTAACTGGGTTATTAAATCATTCCTGCTTCTTTGTCAGTCTGATGGATCTACCATCCTGGCATGATACTGGTCAAGAAGAGGAATTTATAGAGCCAGGCTAGCAGATAGAGCAAACCCACCACTGCTCCATGCATTATCCTTCCTTAGTGGATAAGGCCATTTGGCTCAACTGCATGTGTAGATCAGGGCCTTGGGGACAACAGGATCTTTCCTTTTTACCTCTCCAGCATGCAAGGTGAGGTCTGTTTGCCCTCACTGCAAGGCTGGATCCATGGTGCCCTTCCTGAGAGCAGCCATGGAGTCATGCTAGAAGCTTTGCTCTTCCCTCTCCTTTGATTTGGTAGCAGACTCTTTAGCCTGGAAAAGTGATTGTTGAGGTGACGGTATGGAGGTCTAAGATATATTGCCATGAAGCAAATAAAGGACAACAGTTTGCCTCACACAAGAATTAAGGTGCACCAGAGGAAATTAACAGGTGGCACTTGAAACAACCACTGGTGCCATTTGGCAGGGTGTGTGGTTCAGCTGGGGAGCTCATGTCCATTGGACGTGGCAGATGCCAAGCATGACATGGGTTCAAAAAGGAGCTAAACAAGGGAAAGAAAAACCTATCAAGGGTTATTTAACACAAAGACATCAGCTGTGACATGAAGTCGTGGAGCAATACGGCATCAGGATGCCAGGGAAGCACAACTCTTAGGTTTTCCTCTGTGTACTGTGCCCTGGCTGGCTGCTGCTGGCCTTTGAGCAGCATGTAGGCATCAGATGACCCTTTAGTTTGTTGAAAATACCACTCAGTCTACAGCAGGTGGAGTGATACTGCTGAAATACCCATAGTTTTCCTTCCCCAAGGGCTTTCAATGCCTTTTTTGAGGCTCTGCAGTCCAACAACAGAGCTCTTTGTGTTTATTTTCTTACTGCGGCTTTCCCTCTTTTAGAGACAGCTGGTTTTGTGAATGGTATTTAACAGTTCTTTCAAACTCAATTAGGCACTTGGGAGCCAGGAGTTGTGAGCACTCAGCTTCTATACCCAGCAAAGGATTTTCCCCACCTGCAGCCTCTGTTACACTATTTTCCCAAGACCTCTATGCTTTGTGAGGTAAGCTTTTAAAACTGGCCATTTTTTAGTGCATGAAGGCCTTGAAATGAGTGGCCAGACCTGCTTTGTTTGCTCTCCTAACTTTGTGACGCTCTGAAACAATTTCATTCATCACTTCCCTTTGGAGGGGGGTGGAATTAATAAACTCAGGCTCTGTCCCACCCCTGAACTCGCTTAAATCTTGTACCTATAACAAATACCATTTTTGGCAGGCTTGACAAAACCTATTTGAAATGGCTGGACAATGAAAATACACTGCTTTTTCCTTCTATTACAAGTGTGTACCAGGGTACTGTGTTTTGTGTCGGGTCTTCTGCTCATGGCCTGTAGCTGTGCCCACGTACAGCCTAGCCGGGCATTCAGTGATGTGATTAATGGCTGTCGCATGTGGTTGAGCCTGCCTCTGATCTCTAGGCTGGGGAGATCTCTGTGTGCAGTGGAGGGTTTTCTTTTGATCACAGAGCTCTGTGAAAGGTTTTTCTCTCAGGAAATTGTTTCTGACACTTTAATGCTGGTCTTTGTCCTGGCTGAAAATTAAGACCTAAAAATAAAGCATACACACATAGTTTTGTGTGACACCTTTTTTCCTTCATTTAGTTCAGCCTGACAGAGTATTTCCTTTAGGTACCTTTAACAAAAGCATTTTAATGTATCAGGATTTCTCTTTGGGCTGCTGAGCTAAAGGTTCCAGCTCAGTGAGCCATATGCTCAGAGGGGCCTGGGATACTTTATGTGTTGTATTTTCATGCTCTGGACTCCTGCCCAGACAATGTCTCCCAAGAGCAGGTTACTGCCATGGGAAAGAGCTGAGTTGGCTAATGCAAGCATGTAAGAATGACCGTGCTGCTCAGAGTGGAGGTATGAGCATCTCCAAGCTTGGTCTCCAGCAACCAGCATCAGTGGATATGTAAGGAGGGAATATAGGAAATGGGATGTTTGCCAGACTCCCTTCAGAAGCAGTTCAATGACTGCTTGAGGCAGAAGTTGTATCTGGATTGTCACGTTTAATACTCACTATGGAGCTATCCTCTGCAAATTGCTTCTTGAATCCATGTTCCCTCTGGGGCTTGGTGATCAAGCACTTGGCTTTCTTGTTTAATTTGGAAAGGCTACAAGTGTACAGCACCCAAAGCTGCAGTCCCAGCAGGCAAACAGCGGCCTGAAGTCATGCAGCTTAACACTGACATGACTTGAACACTTTGGATCTAGCTCAAGAAAATGCTGACTTTTGATTTAAGGGGAATGAAAAAAAATAAGTTGAATGATTTAGGCAAAAGCCCCTTTTTGACCCCAGGACAATTTTAATGCTTTTTTGCTTTTTTAATTTCTTTTTCTTTTTTTCTTTTTTTTTTTTGCTGAGATTGCTCTTTTTGTGGATGGAAAATTCCCAACCTGCTGGAGTTGGCAAGCTCTTGTTTTTAGCTAAAGCATATGCTGATGTACATTTGTATCTTCCTTCAAAAAAAAAACTGAGGATAAATACAGAGCTGAAGGCAGTATGCAGTTCCCTTCTCCCTTCCAACAGTCCCCATATTGCCAGTTTAGGGGGGTGGAAAGTTGTCAGTTCTAGCTCAGCCTGCAGGAATGACAACAAAATTATACTAATTAAAATATGAAGATGTAATTCCAACTCCATCACCTACCCTAGAGGGGACTTTACTGTAAACACGGAAAGATCCCCAAAAGTTGATCTACAGCACTCATTGCCTGAGAAACATCAATTGAGAAGGAATGAAAAGCCTCTTTTTCAATCAAAGGACTGTTAATCTTCAAGAGCAAAGGTTTTAGACTCATCATGCTAGATTATAAAGATTATCTAATAGCTCTTTATGGAAAATGGGTTTCTTAAATGCCTTTTGCCTCTCCCTCGCTCGTAACACGGCGCCTCGTTACCCTCCAGCAAAGGCAAGAAGTTCTTAAGCCGATTTTTCACTGACAATCTGCATGCTGCTGGCTGCTCTGCTCGGTCTGAACAGCTGCAAGAGGTTGGTGAGTCTGTGGGAAAGGTGTCTGCCTGTCTTCAGATGAATCGAACACGCTCCTAGCACTTGATAAATGATTCTGCAGCTGTGGTAGCGGCTCCATTCTGCAGAGATGGCTGGTTTAGATTCCATCTGAAATGCATTTCAACTTGTCTGCCCTGAAGTTTCCCTCCAAGGTCTTCAGCCAAAAGTCAGCTTTGTTTTAGAGTGAAAGTTTCGAGGTTAACTGAGCAGCGCTTCGGAGGTGCGGGATTTAAGAGATTTAAGTCATGAGACCTTGCAGAGTTCATTAAACGCACTGCTACGGTGTGCTGGGTTCAGATGTAACAGTTTTTTCTCTCCTTCGTAGTGGCTGAGGCAGTGCTGTCTTTTTGACTACAGTCTGAGAACAGTGCTGATAATCCACTGATGTTTTTAGCAGGCTTTTTGCAGGTCAGTTCATGGAGGTTGCTCTCTGCAAGACCAATGAAACCCAGTGGTTCCCTGGACTTTGGTGAGCTACGTTGCGCAGTTGTGCCACTACTTCCAGATCTGGCAAGTCACAGATTTTGGAGCATC